TGTGTGTATGTGTGTGTGTGTGTGTGTGGCCAGCTCAGCCCACCAGGGGGGCGGGCTGGCTGGCATGTGGTGCTGGGGGATTGAACCGCAGTCCTTGTGCTTTGCCAAGCTTGTTTCAAGTAGGTGCTTTAGACCACTGAGCCATCTCACCAGCCCAAAAGTCAGAATATTTCTTCGTTTGTTTGTTTGTTTTTTTTTTTTTTTTTGGCAGAACCAGGGATTGAACTCAGGCCCTTGCGCTTGCCAGGGAAGCGCTTATTCCACTGAACCATCTCCCCGGCCCCCAGCCCTTGTTTTTGAATAGAGGTCAATCACAAATACTAAACACCTATTTTGTTCAGAATATTATGATACATGTCAGTGGGAATACAATTGAATTCACACATACTATTTTTAAGACAACCTATGTTGTGCATTTGAACTTTCATGTGGTAGTTCTAGTGTGGCTATTCAGTTATAGCCAGTCTCATTAAAATTAAAAAATAAAAGCCGTAGTTATATTAGACATAGCTCAAATACTCAGTACTGACAGCTGACTATACTGTATTGGACACACTAGAGACTGCTTCTGTCCTTCAGTGCTTTTGGACAATGCTACCCTAGCTGAGATTATAAAGCACATTTGTATGTAAATTGTCATAAGTGAAAGTGGAGTGTAGCATGCCATAGTAGTGAAAACAAAATGCAGTACAAAATTTTAACGTCAGGATTTGGGATTAATGATGTGTTATTTTCAGATAGACTTTGAACTGCATTTTTAGATACAGAAGATCATGCATGAAAGTGTAGAGCACTTAATTTGGGAGAATGATTAGCTTTGAGTTGGTGTGGTATAAGAAAAACAATGTAGAAAGATGCAGCCATAAATTGGGGAAAGTACTGTTTGTTTATTCGGCAAACATTTGTAGAATGCCTGGGATACATTTTTACTAGCAGACATTTATAATACTATGTTCAGGTAAAAAAAAAAAATTTTAATGTCATAATATATAGTGTCCCATAGTAATCCCTCACTCCTGCTCTTCCCCGTCCCTGTCTTATGCTAGACGGTCACTTGCCTGCTTCTGTCAACATAGAGTAATTTGCATTTTCTACATTTTTGCATAAATGGAATTATACAGAATATACTCTTGGGGGCTGGAGTGAAGGATGTCTTAATTTTTTTCAGTATAGTTATTTTGAACAATACTTTTTTTTTTTTTTTT